CTTGTTTTGGTCATTGAGAAGTGAACATCTGGTCAAAGTAAAAATATATTTTGTAAAATTAAAAGATCAAGCTAAAATTTTATATAAAATTACAAGATTAAATGTGTACTTTTGTCTCAAAATAATAAAAAGTAAGAAATAGTATTTAATAATAAATTAGCAATGACAAAATCATAACTATTGTACAAATGATTGGGAAGAACTATTGTCTCGAACCTAGATCTGTGTCTTGAACTTGAACCAAGTCTGGAGAACTCAATCTCCAATGGAACTCAATCTCAACCTAGATGTGAGAAAGTTGTATCATATCAATGATGGAAATAGAATGAATCCCATCTTCTTCACACATTTTATTATTAAAGGGAGGAAGTGTGAAGGTGCAAGCAAGTGTGATTTGGAGGGAGAAGGGAGGAGACGTAGAAATGACAAAGATGCAATTTGCAGGGGTGGAGAGAGAGAGATAGATAGATAGATGACTTGTGACGGAGATGAAAATACACAAGTTGAGTGAAAGAACGCTGATGAACAATGATGGTGGGAGGAAGATAAACACAAATCTAGCAAACTCGAGTTGCCAATGGTATCTCAAACTCGAACCAATGGGAGGAAGATGGAGGAAAAGTGGAAGGCGTTGCTTTAGAGATACTAAAACCTGCAAATGACGGTGGTCATGGTAGAAGAAGCTTGGAGAGAGAGAAAAAATGAACAATGATGGGGGGTCATGGAGAGACACGAGAGAGGGAGGATGGAACATGAGTTGAGGGAAGCCTTCTCTACCCTTTTGCTAAGGAAAGGGAAAATCTGGGCCATCCAGATTTAATTGAATTGTTTATAGCTAATGGAAGCCGGCAAACTCTGTTAAGATGAGGAATTGATGATTGAGAAAAAAAATCCAAATAAAAATACATTATTAGGAAAAAGTATGTTAAGGTTGACATAAGCTTAAGTACATAAATTTGTCTTAAGGTTATGTATGTTGAACGGAAAGAAAATAAGGGAGAGAAAAAATTAGGAGAGGAAAATAGAAGGGAAAAAAAAATATTCCCCACTAACAGAAAGTTTTTTCTAATTACTTTTCCCCTCTAGGGGAAATTAGAAAAAAGTGATGATGAAAAATGTCATTTTCTTATAGTTTCCCACCCTACATTTCTCCACCCATTTTCTTTCAATTCCAATCAAAGCTTTAGTAATTAATTAGATAAGCATTAAAAGTAATTTATTAAATTTATTTATAAATTTTTATTTTAATAAATATAAAATAAAAACCTTAAATTTAGATTGTCCAAATTAAATTTAAATGATTCAAATATGCTCATTTGGGGTGATAAGCACCAAAGCTAAATGCCATTTATTTATGAGAGAATAACAGTTAGGTCCTAGAACCTTCAATTAATGATAATTAGGTTCTTAATTTTTTTGAAAAATATTAAAAATATTGATCCAAATAATTGCAAATTCCTCAGTTTTAATTGCCAATAAATTTCTAAATATCAAATGTAACTCTTAAATTATAATAGGAAATTTTGCTTGTCTCTATTTGAATCAATATTTATAACTCATTTTTATAAAAAATGTTGTTGATAACTTAACTATTATTAATTTATCATTTTGAAATCTAATTGTCATTTTCTTTATAATAATAGTCTCTACTCTCTAGTGTCAACTCCAGTCGTAGGGTGTTTGGTTTGATTTGGTTGAAGGGCAATTAAGCGGGGGGAGGGAACCGGAGATTATTGTAACTAACATTGCATTTATTTATCACGAGTTCCATGTTAGTGATTGCAACAAAAGAAAACTAACATGGAACTCATATTTCATAATTGACCCAATAAGCTATTACTCATAGTAAAATTAAGAGATTGGAGAACTAGTGGCCAATATCAAGAAGTTAGAGTTGTAAACAAGAACTTTGAATCACAATATAAGACATTGATAACTAATTTATAATTATTAAAAAATATTAGTTAAAATTTAAATTTCTTAAGAAAATTACATCTTTCTAATTATATCTGTATTAAATATTTTATATAAGTACCTTAATAATTATAATTAAAATTTTAATGTATTATTTTTTCAGAAAGAGTGATAATTAATAAAAAAATATAGTTAAAAAATAATTATAAAAATTATTTAATATTTTATATTTTGAATCAAGTAAAGCTTTTGAATGAAAAAAGTGAATTGATAAAATTTTATTTGATAGAACGTAAGAAACGTGATTCGTGGTATCCTTAAAAAATTTCTCCCATTTATGCTCAGGAAGGAGAGGATCAAAGTTGACGTGGTCAACCACAATTGATAAGCAGGGTTAATATTTTATTTTCAATATTTTGCGTTATTTAATTACACTTTTTATTGACTTATTGGCTACGGGGGCCCCTTATATTCAAAGAAATGTATTTTATATTAAATATTAATATTGATGTCGACATTGAGGGAATTATTTAATTTTTGAATGAAGCGCTACGAGCATGTGGGTTCTCATCAGTCTGTGCACCATTTGGCTCTGTCTTCTGTGCACAGCACTATGGGTGCTCATCAGTCTGCGCACCATTTTAGTGCATGAAAAAAAATATAGACCGAAAGGTTTAATTTAAACAATTTAAATTTAAATATTTTATTTTTATATTTATTAAAATAAAAATTTTAAATAACTTTTTTATCATTGAATGATAAATATTTAATCTGAATGATTTAATTTAATATTAAACTTTTTAATAATTTTTAATTTTTTTAATTTTTAATGAATTGATTATCAAAACCAAATGTAATTTGTACAATCGAGATTTCATATTAAATTTTTTTAATTTTTATTTTAATAAATACAATATTAAATTAGCACTTTCTAAAAAAATATTTTTTGAAAGAAATTAGAAGTTAAAAATTTTAAATCAATACTATTCAGAGTAAATTTGAATAATTAATGTATAAAAGTTATAAAAATTTTAATGTTAAATTTATACCATCTAAATTGAATTTTAACTGTCTAAATGAATAATGAAACATATTTATTAAAAATTTCATATTTTTTATTTTATTAAAATTTTTAATAATTTTCATTTTATTAAATATAGAATTAAAATTTTAAATTTAAACAGTTTAAATTAAATCCCATCACTTCTCGTGAGCACCAGGGGTGATGAGCACTAAGCTAGATGCAATTTATTTGGGTTCAAATCCTCTCATCAGCAATTCTCTCTTAGTGTCCCTTAGTGGCATGGAAGCTAAAAACTTGAACGATATTTCAAACAAATCGTCACATTTCCCTACAACAACTCTAACCCATTCAACCCACCATGAATAATACAGTAAGATTGTACAGCTTGATCGAAAAAGACACACGCAAGAGTCACTGTGCATCTGTTTTTCTCCAATGAAAGTGCTCATGAACAGTACACAAGATTCATTGGCTTAGATCGTGAATCTTTTTAAAATTTTAATTTTTCTAATCTTTGTAAAAAAATTTAATAATTTAAAATATTAGTTCAATTCTTAAATTTTAAAATAATTTTAATCTTTATAATTTTATTTTTTAAACTATAGAGACAAATATTTTAAATAGTTAAAATTATAAAGATTGAATTGTATCAAGACAAAATTTATAAACTGTTATAACCGGGTCAAAACTATAAAAATTGAATTATAATAAATAAAAATTTAGGTACTGAATTACAATATAATTGAGTTAAAATTATATAAACTAAATAATTAAATTTATTTGTTATGGAGAAATGTTCAACACTTCTAACCCAGTTTGCTCCAATCACACAGGGTCTCATGGGTAGTTCAATTTGGAACCAAGACTTTTCGTTGCTGGAAAGCGTTTTAATCGTGAAAGTCATATTCCATGATAGTCGAATCAAGTTTTTCTCTTTCTTTAATTCCCTATCTTTAAAACTGTGTTGTTGGGCGACTGGCAAAGTTTTGTACCATTCCATGACTTTTATCCTTTTTGTTTTTTTTTTAATTTTTGGTACTGTTGCACTTCTTTGGTATTATTCTCCTTTTTTTTTTATTCTGGGAGAATGATATTTAAGGATCCTCAAGGAAAATTATTTGCAGTTAAGCATCCTGAATGTTGAACTTACGTAAAAAAATACCATAGTTCTTAATTAGAATTGAAATTCTTGAGTTAATTTTTTCAGTACTCATTTTCCATATTTTTAATGCTCATTTTTAGTAATTAGTTTTTTTCCTGCCTTTTTAGCAGTAATCTGAGATATTTTTAATACTCATATTCTATATTTTAGTAGTATTGAAACTATGGGAGGTGAGCTTTAAAAACATTTAGATGGTGTGTTTGGATTGATGAATTTGAATTTAAATTTTAGATTTAAAATTTTTTATTTGAAATCCATGTATTTAAAATAATTCATTTTAATAGTATAAAAAATTTTAAAAGTAAAAGAGAAAAGAGTTGAGATTCAAAGCAGAAATTGAAGATTAGGAAGTGACGAATCCACTTCTATTGTTTAATTGGTGAGAGATAAGAACAAAAGACGAGAGGGGTGATGAGAATAATAGAGACAATGATTGTGAAACATGAAGAAACTGAGAGTACGTGCTAGTGAAGGTGGACTTCAAATAATTAAAATTTAAAAGGAATTTAAAATTACAAAAAAAGTTATAATAAAACATGGATTTGGACTTGGATCTAAAGAGTTTTATGTATTCAAATGAAAAATTTAGTTCAAATTTAAATCTAAATCTAAATTTAAATGATCATACATCCAAACGCATCCTTGAGGTAATTACTGGAAATAAACCGAACACTAGAAATGCTAAAGATAGCCATTGAAAAGTCAGCCAAAAAAAAAAAAAGATAGCCATTGAAAATGTGAAAGATGCAAAAATTCAGTCAGAAAAAATTAATTTCAATTAAAGAACATGATCTTTTTCTAAAATTTCATAATTTTAGGTCGTTAATTATAATTAATATTTTTAGAAGATACTTAAATATCATTTTTCCCTTTTATTTTGTTAATAACTAGACTGATCACTTGTAAGCAAATAAGTCACGAGGAACCCTTCATCATTCAAAATACAAACACCATCATCAAAACTACAATACATACACACAATTCATTAGCAACACCTTATAATTACCTCAACTTCCCATAAAATCTGCAGGCACGTAGGAAGAGAAGAGGGAGACATTATTATTCTCCTACATACAAATGCAAAAAAACACAGAAACAACGTTACAAGATTTCATTAATTTCATAAAAACAAGCCTGTTTATTTAATATTACTGAAGTAGCTTCTCACACCACACACAAGAAGACAACTATATGTTATATATTATTTTTATTTCTTTTGCTACTTCTTGCAGTTTCGGGTATAGTCGGAGCACGGAGCAGGACTTGGACGTGACTTTCCAATGCAAGATGAATAAGGAGAACCAGGAGGACATTTGACTGCAGGCTTATTCGGATCCTTTGAGGGCGAGGTCACCGACGACGTCGTTTCTGTGTTATCACATATAATATTATTTACAGCGAAAAGAATAACTAATATCTAACTCATAATAATTTCATAATCGTGGCAAATTAAATTAAAGGAAGTTGAAGTTGTTACCGAGTAATAGACGAGCATGAGTGGAAGAGGGAAGGGAGAGAAATATTGTGGAAACCAAAATGAGAAAGGCTATTAGAATGGCCTTCTTCATTGTTTTCAGAGCAGTTCACAAACTAACAATGCTAAGTTTTGGTATGCTTGCTTCAATTAATGAGGAGCCCATTGTGTCTCTTTATAGTCCGCAGGGAGAGAATCAAAGTTGAAATCGTCAACCATAATTGATGCAGGGCAAATATTTTATTTTCATTATTTTGTATTATTTAATTTCACGTTCTATTTACCTATTGATAAGGCGGCCCCTCATATTCAAACAAATGTATTTTATATTAAATATTAATATTGATATAAATATTAATGATATCATTCAATTGCTCGAGAAAAATTACACATTTAATCATTTAATTTTATCAAGGTTTCAATTTAATCAATTTATGTTATGACGTGTCTTTTCCTATTTTGATTGTTGAGAAGAGGACATTTGGTCAATTAATTTATTTCATATATGAGGATAATTATAAGAGAGAATTTTAGTTAAGAATCTAGGAAAAAATTTAATTTCAGGTGGGTCCAAAAATATTATTAAATTTTATTTTAGTTTAGGGAAGAAAAATTAAAAGAATTTTAATAATGAAAAGACTAAAATACTCTTCAAGTGTTATGCAAAATCACTAGTTGTTAATTTTTTATTACACTTGTTAATTTACTAATGTTACTTATAAATACATCTATTTGTTAAACAATCAGTAATATTAATTACTAATTTACTAACATCAATTATAAATTACAAAACCTATCAGTAATTCACAATTAATGTTAATAAATTACAAGACATGTATGAAATTTACAACTAATGTTAATAAATTAAAAAATAAAGTTAGCAATTTAACAATTGATATTATTACTTATGATTGAAAAACTGATGCTGCAAGACTTATCTAATTATTACTATGTTAACTCATGTAATTTGTAACTCATATTTGTAAATTAACAAATGGAGTACTAAAATTAATAATTAGTGATTTTGCATAATAGGTGAAGGGTATTTTGGTATTTTTACTGTTAAAATTCTTTTGACTTGTTTTTCTTGGACTGAATTAAAATTTTAGAATATTTTTGAATCAATCTAAAATCAAGTCTCTTCCTAGGTCCTTAACCAAAATTCTCCTTAATTATAAAGGATTAATTTATTTTTAAAACCACCAATACACATTTTATAGAAGGATAAATTTATTGACAAAAAATTAAGTGAAATTGAATCGGATAGAAAAATCCATAAAATATATTTATAAATTACACTTTAACTTTTTATAATAATAAAAATTTCTTAACATTAAGAAAAGTTGAGAATTGACAAGGTTGAATAAAGATCATATTTTTGGTGTGAATCAGAAGATTTGCTTAGCGACTGAAGAATGAAAACAACTTTGATTTTTGAGGCTATTTCACAGAAATGAGTTTCGGAATCCTCGTTTATGGTATTTGCATGCAAAAATAATTAAATTTCAAATTTTACCAAAAAAATTAGTCAATAATTTCTGAATATTTAAAGAAAATGCCAAATTGACTAGGTCATCGAAAGACTTGATGGTTGACCAAAAAATAAAGACAAAGTGGAGGCGCTTTCCACGAAACGGTACATTCACTGTCAGAAAAAGACGGAGAGAAATAAATTAAGTGACACACACGGATACAGATCCTCTCAGACGCGCCATCTCTTAGCGTCCTTCAGCATCCCAAATCTCAGCCCTCTAATGCATATCTAATGTCTCATGAATAATTTTATTTTAAAAATTAATTCTTTTAGTTTGTTTTAAAAAATTATTAAATTAAATAAATCAGGTTAAAGTTTGAATAAGCCAAATTGTAAGTATTTGCCTACAATCTAACTTATTTTATAAATTTTTTAAATAAATTTTTATTAAATAGATCATGTTAAAGTTTGAATAAATCAGACTATAAATATTTGCTTAAAGTCTAACTCACTCTATAAATTATTTTTAAACATATTTTTATTAAATAAGTTAAGTTAGAGGTTGAATAAGTTGAATTATAAATTTTTTTTCTGTGAAAACCTGTAGGGTAATTTTTTAGAAGAAGTTTTAAAAATAGAAAATGAAATAAAAAATCAATTTAATGAAAAAAATAATTTTTAAAATAAAATTATTTTATATTAGATGATATGAAAATTATGGGAGATTACATATTTATTGGAGGGCTAAGATTTGAGACATTGAGGGACGCTAAGAGAAGGCGCTTCTGAAAGGATTTGAATCCAACACACCTATTTTCATTCCAACTCTTGTTTGGAATGGAAAGAAATTAGGAAAGAGAGAAAAATTAAAAGAGAAAAGTAGAAGAAAAAATATTTTTTCCTCATATAGCATAAAGTTTTTTTAAAATTTTTCCCCTCTCTAGAAGAAGTTGGCAAAAAAAATGATAAAAAAATGTCTTCTTCATTCTAATTTCCTGCCTTACTTTTCTTCTCTCCATCTTCTTTCTATTCCAAAACCTAAACAAAGCCGTGATGATTTCGACTCGGTTGAATAAGGTTATTTTAAATAGACTTGCGCAAACATAGTTACAAAAACGCAGAGACCAGCTAAGCATAAAAAGCCTGTATGACCAAAATTATAATATTCAGGATGCATGCAAAGACAAGGAACACGGCAACCTGCGTAGCACGGCAGATCTAGAGTGACATAAGTGGTATATATGTAGAACGAAAGTAGTGGGAGCTCAAAGAACTAAAACCTTTATTGGGCTCCCTTTAAAAGGCACATCAATTTTGTAGCTAATTGTGAACTTAATGATGAGGCTGAGACTCGTGACTGAGTTTCATCCTCAGTGGCCTAAGCCCATATATTCCACCCCACATACTTCAATCCATCACAAACCCAATATATGTTGGATTTGAATTTGGTAAATAATCTAAATTCATTTATTTAATTAGTGTCTTAATTTCAGTTATTAAATTTCATCAATATTTAAAAATTATTAAAAAAATTCAAAACAATCTCCAAAATCAAAATACTCCTCACATGTAATGTCCTATTTAAAAATTTGATATTTGATACTTTATTCTATAATAAGATATCTCACAACCGTTGAATTAAATCCAACAGTTGTTTCCGTACAATGTGAGAAATCGTGAATGACTAGATCTAAATCCATATATGCTTCAGAAAAACAATTGTGAAGTGATCCTCAGACTCGTTCCTCGGCTGTGGCTTTCATTACACAATCGCTTCTCAAGTTTTTTTTTTTTTTATAGGGATATCTTTCTATTAAATACAATTTTGTTTGAAGCATTGTGTCTATTAAATATAGGTACCTTTCCAAACGGAAATGCATGAGAGATGTTGATTACACGATCGCTTCTCAATTTGCTCTACGGCCATGCTTCTATTCTACCTTTATTAGTCCAAGAGCGGAGCCAAGATTTTTAGTTTATGGGGCTGAATAAAAAAGCAAATACACACACTGAGCGTAATATAAATATTTCAACATAATCACAATCAATTTTATAAATATATAACCAAAATAAATATGAAATTTACTTTTTAACTTTCCTTGTCCATTTATAACATCAAAATAATCAATTATTACTTTTACAATGAACTTTTCAACAATGTCCTTTTGAATATAAATTATTATTAAATTAGTGAAATTTATTTTCTTTCTTATTGCGAAGCCTTGTTTTTATAGTTTTTATTTCTGAAAAAGCTTATTCAATGGTTGTTGTTGACCTTGGAAAAGTTAGTACATGCCTTAGTAATATGTAAATCAATTAAAGGATTAAAATATAAGGTATTTTTAGTTAAATTTTACCCTCAATAAATTATATAATTATTTCAAACTAATACCATCTTTTCTCATATATATATATATATATATTTATCCTTATTTAATATGATGTTTCACTTCAAAATAAATATAAAATGATTTATTTATTAAATTTTTTTTTGAAAAAACACATTAATTACATCTTAAAATTCTAAAAATACTTTATATTTTTGAATATCCAACTCTTTAAAAACTATCATATATTTTTTTAACAGATGGAGTATATATTTATTTATGAAAAAATTAATATTTCAATCCTTCAACTTTTAACTCACTTATAACTCAATTCCTCAACTATGACTCTCTACGACTCAGTCCCTCAACTATAACTCGCTGTGACTCAATCCCTCAACTTTTGATTTACCTATAATTTGGTCCTTATTTTTTAAATTTTTTGTAAAAAAAATTTTGTCAAATAAGAGGGATAAAAAAATGTTCATATATTATTCTAAAATACCCTCCTCTTGCTCATTGATGTGAGAAATTGCTAACATGAAAAAAAATTAACAAAAGTTCAGGGACTAATTTGTAAGTGATTCAAAAATTGAGGGATTGAGTCATAGGCGAATCATAGTTGAGGAATTGAGTCACATTGAATCATAATTAAGGGACTAAGTTACAAGTGAATTAAAAGTTAGATGACTAAAAGATCATTTTTTTATTTATTTATGAGTAAAATATATAAACAATTTTGAAATTTGGGGCAACCGCATAGAACCCTTCTCACCTTTTAAAGTTTAAAATTAACCTCCTAATTAATTTTTTTATTACAGATTTCCTTATTGTTATTTTTTAGTTATTTTACTAATAGAAATTTCCATGCTATATTAAAGAAAACACACATAGCAACTTATAGAGCATTGGATATAAACCAATAATAACACAAAATTGTGGATAAAATTTTTATAAAGCTATTATTACCTTACATTAGTTGCCGCGTAAGTTGTCATATGTCTTTTCTTAATATGACATGATAACTTTTATTAATAAAATAACTAATAAATAACAGTAAAGAACTCTGTGATGGAAAAAAAAGAAGTTAGGGAGGTTAGTTTTAAATTTTTAAATGTGAGGGAGATTTTGTGTAACTGCATCAAATTTTAAAGGATTTTTATATATTTTAACCTTTATTATTTATTTAAGTCTTCTCTGTAACACTAACAATGAATTTAGGTTTTACGATGCGAGTCTTTTATCTGGGATGGAAAGAAAATAGGGAGAGAAGAAATCATGGAAAAGAGGTTGGAGAAAAAAAAAATTTGCCTTCTCTAACATAAAGTATTTTAATTAATTTTT